TCGAAGGCATGAACGGAGGAGATTGATAAAGGACAGACAAAAGGATAGCAATCTGAGACTGAGGTAAAGGAATCCACATTTATAACAATGTGAAAGAATTCAGATAGATGAGTGTCTAATGGACCAGGAAAGTGATCTGGGAAAGAACGACGAGGCATGAATGAGAGCTGTTGACAATCGATGTACCATTTTTAGCCAATTTCCCCATTGTAAGAACCACTGCCTCACGAACAGACGAGTCCGAATGCTCCAACCGCTGGATGAGCTGGGGAATCGCATTCCCAATCGGACCGACCAGATCGGCTGATACTACACGTCAGGTGTGTTCGACCGCTCCTTGGGATGTACACACCGTTCTTAGCCAGTTCTCCCATCATATGAACCACCGCAGAGCAAACAGAGGAGTCCGAATCGTCCAACCATTGGATGAGTTGGGGAGTCAAGTTCCCAATTGGACCAATCAGATCGGCTGATACTACATGTCAGGTATCTTCAACCGCTCCTTGGAATATACACACCGTTCTTAGCTAGTTCTCTCATCGTATCCACCACCGCCGAGCGAACATATGAGCCCGAATCGTCCAACCGTTGGATGAGCTGGGGAATCGCATTCCCAATCGGACCAACCAGATTGGCTGATACTACATGTCAGGTGTGTTCGACCGCTCATTGAGATGTACACACCGTTCTTAGCCAGTTCTCCCATTGTACGAACCACTGCCTCACGAACAGACGAGTCCGAATGCTCCAACCGCTGGATGAGCTGGGGAATCGCATTCCTAATCGGACCGACCAGATCGGCTGATACTACACGTCAGGTGTGTTCGACCACTCATTGGGATGTACACACCGTTGTTAGCCAGTTCTCCCATCGTACGAACCACCGCCGAGCGAACAGACGAGTCCGAATCGTCCAACCGCTGGACAAGCTGGGGAATCGCATTCCTAATCGGACCATCCAGATCGGCTGATACTACATGTCAGGTGTGTTCAACTACTCATTGGGATGTACACACCGTTCTTAGCCAGTTCTCCCATCGTACGAACCACCGCCTCACGAACAGACGAGTCCGAATCCTCCAACCGCTGGATGAGCTGGGGAATCGCATTCCCAATCGGACCATCCAGATCGGCTGATACTACATGTCAGGTGTGTTCAACTGCTCATTGGGATGTACACACCGTTCCTAGCCAGTTCTCCTATCGTACAAACCACCGCCTCACGAACAGACGAGTTCGAATCGTCCAACCGCTGGACAAGCTGGGGAATCGAATTCCCAATCGGACCAACCAGATTGGCTGATACTACACGTCAGGTGTGTTCGACCGGGCCTTGGGATGTACACACCGTTCCTAGCCAGTTCTCCCATCGTATTCACGACCGCCTCACGAACAGACGAGTCCGAATCGTCCAACCGCTGGATGAGCTGGGGAATCGAATTCCCAATCGGACCGACCAGATTGGCTGATAGTACATGTCAGGTGTGTTCGACCGCTCCTTGGGATGTACACACCGTTCCTAGCCAGTTCTCCCATCGTACGAACCACCGCCTCACGAACAGACGAGTCCGAATCGTCCAACCGCTGGATGAGCTGGAGAATCGAATTCCCAATCGGACCATCCAGATCGGCTGATACTACACGTCAGGTGTGTTTGACCGCTCCTTGGGATGTACACACCGTTCTTAGCCAGTTCTCCCATCGTACGAGCCACCGCCGAGCGAACAAACCAGTCCGAATCGTCCAACCGTTGGATGAGCTGGGGAATCGCATTCCCAATCGGACCAACCAGATCAGCTGATACTACACGTCAGGTATCTTCGACCGCTCCTTGGGATGTACACACCGTTCTTAGCCAGTTCTTCCATCGTATCCACCACCGCCCAGCGAACAGACGAGTCCGAATCGTCCAACCGCTGGACAAGCTGGGGGATCGCATCCCTAATGGCATCAACCCCACCAGCTGTAACTCGCTCTTAAATTATTTCCCCGAATTTTCATCATCTACTCACATTCAAGAACCAAAGCGAATGCTTCCCTCGCTACCTTAATAGCGTCACTAGCCAGCATTCCTTTTATAACCGTACTTGTACTAATGTCCAGTTTCCCTTTCCTATCATTTAGTATTGTGCTTTCTCCAAGTCTTTCACTCACTGTTCTCGGCCATTGTCTTGACTATTCTCGTGCAAGCTCTTCTGACCGCCTGTTCTCTGCTTACAATATCTTCGACCAATCTCTCCCCTAACCTTTGCATTAAACATGGGCTCAGTGCCTTTACAGCTTCGTCACACATATCTCCTGCTTCTCGGTTAGTAGATCTATGGCCGTCGACACTAGCTGCTTACTCATTTTTAGTTGCTCGGACAGAATTATAACGCACGCTTGGCGAATGTTCTCTCCTCCAACCAATAAACCTCTCATTGCGGCTATCAGTAGGATCCTGCGAACGAACGCCTTCCCACCGT